GCTCACTTTCCGATCTATTGAGCCGACGTGTGACAGTTTCAGTCTCGAATTATTAGTTTCAGGCTCGATGGCTCGAACTATTAGGTTGAGTTAAAATGACTCCCCTCATAATTCTCCTTTAATATATCATTTTTTAACATTTAATTTAGGTAACTATGAAATATCGCATACGGATACATGATATTTGCATTGCTAGCCAGCAGATGGAGCTCTCAGCTCATTTCCACATTTTCTATATCTGCTTTGCTGGGGGGAAAAAAAGAAGCTTGCTGACTACAGAGCTCAATAGCTCAAGCAGTCATTTCCATTCAGGGCTGATTAAGTCAGAGCAGCGACACCTTGCAATTCACTTCTAGTTTTTCTGTCTGTAAGGTGGAATATAACCTGTAGACATTGTAGATAAATGTAATGCTAAACCAAACTATGCCCATCACGTGCAGCTTGCTGGAAGCTCTCCCCGTAATGCCCGTTTAATGTTCTTTTTCAGGGACCAACTTCAGAAGAAAGATATGCAACTAAAATCGTCCATCAAGCAGATCTTGAAATGTGATTTTGAACAGGAAAACATAACCTCCCCGGTGGCGTTACCGCTCGCTGATTGCATTGTCAGCGCATGGATACTGGAAGTTATCAGTAAAAATGAAGATGAATATATGAGAAATCTGGAAAAGATGATAAAGCTGCTGGGACCCGGAGGCAAGCTGATACTTTTGGGGTCATTAGATGCGACCTACTATGTTGTTGGGGGGGAACGGTTCCATTGTTTGAAATACGATGAGGACTTTGTGAAGAATGCCCTCGGTAAGCTGGGGTTAGTCATTGATTACTGCGCACTGCAGAGTAGAAGCAATGTGAGCGATCTCACCGATTATCTCGCTTTTATCTTCCTCGTAGCTTGCAAGGGGGAGTAGGTGATTGCAGCTGAGAGATTTAAAGGAGAACTCCACTAACTGAAAAAAAATTAGCCCTGCTGTACGGGTTAAGGCCTTGTTTTGACCAGGGGAGGGGTCAAATAAAGCAGATATATTCACCTGATCCTCGCAGCCTCTAGTAATCAAAAAATATATCCACGCTCTATATACCTTCCCTCAAATGTTGCCCAAAAACCCACAAGCCCCAGGAAGGGTTTGGAGTAGAAAGCGGGGCCCATCAGCGATCGTGCAGGAAGAGGAGGCAGACAGGTAAGGAGTGTGACCAGCCCACCTGAGGGTGACCCTGTAGAGCCCATCATAGAGAGACTATGGTGGGCTCTGCATGGTCACCCTCAGGTGGGCTGCGTAGGATCTCAAGTGGGCTCTGCAAGGGCCATAACTAGAAGTCACGAGGCCCCATACAAAATTTTGCTATGGGGCCCTGTGATTTCTAGTTACGCCCCTGCAAGACACATTCCATAGTAGGAATGGAGGGGAAGAGTGATGAGTGCTGAACCGCCCCAGGACCGAGAATCAGGTGAATAGATCTGCTTTATCTGAAGCCCGCCTAGACAAAACGAGCACTTAACTCTTGCAGTGCGCGGGTAGCCCCCATTGCAAGAGAACATTTTTTGAATTCTTGGACTTCTCCTTTAATACTGTTTTTCTTTGATCTAAATGTGAAAGTGTTACAAAGTAACTGCA